TTAGTTTACCATACGTGAAATCCAGTTTGCAAGAACTCTAATCAACTTCTCGCTCCATGCAGCTGAACGCTTGGCTGACCACGAAAATCTGATACGTTTTCGTTCAGCCCATTCAGGAGACAAACTCCCTTACTTTCCTTGTTTGTCCTTACTCCTAACGCCGCTACAGCAATCCTTTTTGGATCCTTAGGAATCACTTCCTATGAATTTATTTCTTATTTCATGAATTTCTAGTTGTTTTTGAAAGTATTATTATGGCTATTAGCACTGTGAATATTACTAGGCCTAACACTGAACAAAACACAGAACTGACTTCATTTCCCACCCCAATCGATTTTTCGTTTGCAATTTTACTTTTGTCATGGGAAACTCAATTTCTGAACATATTAAAAACACAGTTCTTGATAAAAATGGGTCTGTGAGTTCCTGCCAGGATGAATCTGTGGCCCCCAAGAATAAAGGGACGTTCTCAAGCCGAAAAACGGTTTAGACAGGACGTAATAAGGGCTCCCAAAACCAGTTTGGTCTACGCGCACACTGTAAGTGGCCGTGTTAGAACGGACTTGCTACTATTGCACTACTCACAGTACGAGACGAACAGTACTTTTATGTGAGAGACACCCAGACGGGAGCATACGGCGATCTCGCACAACCCCCCCCCCCCCCCCCCCCCCCCCCTTCCCCCCTTCCTTGCTACTTCTTCTAGGCCTTATATTTTTTGAAATCCGACAATATTCGTGTTTTCTTCGCCATCCTTGCATTCTTCGGCACCATGGCTTCATTATTTCACTTTAAACAGGTAACTCAGAATTATCGCGGACTGTGCCTTCAAGTTGGTAATTACACGACTGCAATTTCCTTCGAACATTTACCTTGAAAGCTATTTGTTTGTAGTGATTGATACTTTCATACATGTAGACCAGGTATTCGAGTATTTTATGGTCAGTGTGGTACCTGAGCATTTCATAGTCAATTTATCAGCTGCTTGCGGCGCGCCACGCTCGCCGCATGCGGCGACCTGACTCCGGGGACGAAGCCTTTGATGGCGCTTCAAGACCCGTGCATCTGAATGATAATGAAGAAAGTAAGCCCGAAATTTATAGCAAAACCCTCAGATTCAGAAGCGTTCCCCAAAAAAACTAATCGCATCATTAGTTTCCACTTTCTTGGTAGGTTGTGACGTAGGTAGGAACAGGGGGGACACAATTGGCTTTGCTACCACACGCGCATATTGAGGAGGGGTTCTGAATGAGACTGAATGGGCGATTTACATTTGAAGTCCCATCTAATCAGTACCAAACTCTTGTGGGAGCACTGACGTTCACATCGATTCGTTTCTATGAGCGATTTTTTTGCAGCCGAACACTCACCATCCCATCATTAGAGAATCACAGCATAACATGAAATAATTATTTCATCCCACCTTCTCCAATATCCCAGCACAACCCACCCGTGGGTGGGGCCCCTGGGGCATAAGGGGAGGAGGACGGTAAGTAAAAATAACAGCAATCACGTCATTTTCTGTATGTCAATGACAACGAAGGCTTCGTGAGAAAATGAAAATGGGAATTGAAATTAAAAATGTCGGATGCGTTTGGGCGACTAAATCCCAAGCAGCCTCTAGGTTTTCCCTAAGGAAGAAATGTGGAAAAAATAGCACCAAATCCGCTTTCCCTGTATTGGATGAATTATTAAAATTGATTGGCTGTTTATTGGAACGTGGACAGGAAGGCTCAATAAGTGTGTGGGATGTTCGCTGTTCATTTGATTGTTCGCCACTATGCTTTGTTGTCAGCAGTTCATGTTGTTTCCTATTTCATCTCACCTCATTGGCTCTGTTAGATAGAACATGATTGTTTTTCATACATACATGCGTATGATAGAGCTATTCCGCCAGTAACTTACTGCTGGGCAAAAAAATGGAGCAGTAGCAGAGATCATCCCCATTTTGGGATACGCCCACGCATTCGACTCTTAATTAGAATGTAGTGGCGTTTGAATGTGTACATAGCCTGTACAACAACTTGCCCGAACCAACCGCGTCATCACCATCCCAGGTAGTATATTAGGTATATTGGTGGTATAGGGAGTCAGGTATATTAACTGGCCGTACCTGGCGGGAATTAGATTTGATTGGGTTGAAGAGAATTCGATCCGTGATTCTGATTCCATTTCCGGAACCATACATGTCTTAGGGTGCGAGTTGGCGGTACTTCACCTCCTTCCACTCCAGTGTAGCCCCCCCCCCCCCCCCCCCCCNCCCCTCTCTCCCGGAGAACGATAACAACTCAAATAACTTCCTATTGATCCTATTGATAGCGAGTTTATCGAGTGTAAGATTGTTTTTATGTGAGCTTGCCCATTGCGAATTTAACTTAGAGGTAATAATCTCTAGATGGGTTCCATAATGGATCCCAGCGCTCACTGGTAATGATAAGAATCTGAAGAAAGGCGGTCGTATCTTGCGGGTCAGGGAGAGTAACCGCCCTCTCCAATCCCGAGGATGCCGTTCATAACAGACATACGCTCTTTCAACAACTGACTCATGTTTTTACCCAACGATTTTCATCGTGTTTTTTTCCCAATCATATCAAGCTCGAAAATACCACACTGTGACAAAAGGTCTTGGTTTCGCCTTCAACAGGCTACCATTAGAACTAGACATTCCTTCAAGGTTGTGGCAGTTCGTGAAGCATTAACATGAACTCGTTTCAAGAGGCTTTTGCAAGAACCTTCACGTATTAGCTTAGCGATCTGAACAAATCGAGGGGCGGGACTTTTGAGATGGGAGGGGTCTGTGGATAGTTGACAGTTGCCCTGCCTCATTTTCTTCCATACTAACATCTTATTGCTGATATTTTTCAAGAGCAGCTTTTTTCTCTGAATTAACAGCCTAGGACTTATCTCGGTCATGTAAAAGGGAGGACGAAGGTCCCAACACACTCAAAGCACCTACTACATGGAATTTCTCGCAATCACCGAACCACTGTTCGCTTCATATAATTCGTGTTCAAAACACGACCTTTCCCCTGTCAAGGGCCCCAAAGTCGGCTTACCCCGCGATGCTACTCTAATGGTTCTGTTTTTGAGAGCTCCGGGCAACTATTCCTCCCTCGGTTTTAACTCAAACCAGGCGCCATTCAAGAACAGAAGGGAGAAGGCGTGACGATATCTCACCTCCGACAACAAGACGAGGAATTACCTGGTCCTGTGTCATTTATGTACGTCTCGCTGTTTTCTGATTCGATTTGCCCTCATTTATAGCTGAATATGCGACTTTTCATTGTTTACGACACATTATTACCTTATTTCTTGGGTTATTAGGCTCCTACAGTAAGGCATGTTTTCACCATGTTTATTGCCAATGCCTTTCTTGATCTCTGACATTACCCTCAACAAGAAGTTTGAGATAAAAAGAGGATCTGTAGGGGATTTGTCGTTTGCGTACGGGCGAGCCCCCTGCAGCAGTCCGAAGCCTGTTTTATGGAAAGTAGTTGCCCACAAGCCTAGGCGGAAGTTCGACCTTTAACGAGAACGAACTTTTGCCCATCACTGACAACGGCCTACTGAAACCGTCATAGAGCATTCCCCAGAGATGAGACAATCTCACTAGCGTGTGGATGATTTATTGGTGACGGTTCGTTGTCAGAGGATTTCCTTGGTGCTTCAATGCTCTCCGGGGACATGATGGTTTCCCGGGATATACCTAATGTGCGATATTCGTACTGAGTTAGCCCAATCGACGTCCAAATTGTACCACCATCGCCCTCGGAGCTAACGGCCTGAAGATGTATATGGGTGGGTGTGAATTTTCTTACCCAACATCCAATCAATTCTTCTTCACTTGAGATGAATGCACTATTTGGGCTACAGCTAAAAGATCCTCGCCCTTTTCGTTCATTTGCCTTCTCGCAAGCCAGTGTCGCCATTCCACCAAATGAATTCCTGATGGATCCTTCAAAAAGATCTCCTCATTCACACAAGCTATCTTTTAGAGGCTTACGAATATGATAAAATAAGTAACCCCTTCCCGAGCCTTCGAAATTTGTCCTTTCAAATTCTCGACCATCAGAATTGCCTTCACTTGCTCTATCGGCTCGTCTTGTTGCTGAAGAAATTTGTTCTCACTCATCTTTTCAGTAAATTTGCATCCGCTGGAATGAGCTGGTTTTCCATTAACTCATTTTCAACTCATAGTTGCTCCCATATATGTTCCCGTCGATTTGAAACATAGGAATTTCTGATTCTCTCACAAGTTTCGAGATTTAAATTATGTGATTACATATTGCAGACCGTTTACGTTTTGTTTACTTCTTCACTAGCTCTACATACCCAAGTGGAGATGCTAAAATCCTGCTCTGGTTATAAACCCCACCCGCTCTCAAAGCCCCGCCCCGAGGCAATAAGCAAAGGGAGAACACTGATCGTCCTGAGATGAGACCCGAATCAGATTCTTCGTAAGCAATGTTGCCTGACCGAAAAACGAGAAGTACATATTTACAATGTGACACCAGCATCCGGACAGTCTTCATGAGCATGCTGTTTGCTGCCGTATGACTCGCCCCATCGTCGAAATCGAATTAAGCCAACAAAATCACATTTCCTCGGCTTTTAAACCTCTTTTTCCGCTTGTTTTCGATGGCAGGCAATGTCTCATTCGCTACCACTTCCTTTTTTCCAACGGTAGGTCTTAGGCATGACATGACCACACATCTTCCTTGTGACCAATCATTACCATCCGTTCTTACTCCCAATAATTTCTCCTTCCACATGTATTGTAGCTCTACCATGTTCGTTTACGATACGGTAGGGAATCGGTTCTTCGCAGGGACGTTTGAATAATTTTGTTCCTCTTACAATATCGTATATCTGAAAAGCTCCTTAACCTGACATTTATCGAAACCCTATCGTGCGAATACCCACAAGACAGTTTTTTTACTCGAAATTCTAACTCGACAACTATCAAAGGTATCCTGGCTATGAGTGAATTTTTCAGAGACATGTCGGCCAATGAAACATGTGGACAAGCACTTGAAACCGCCTCCTATATCTATCCAATTATTCTGCATCTCATCTCAATATTATTGACCTCACGAGCTCTTCAAATTCAGTTTAGATTGAGAGAAATGTTCCATCCCTTCTTCAGGTGAGCCGTTTATTTTACAAACTGCAAATTTTCAGTCAGAGTCTACTCCGCGATTCCCAAGGAGAGGACTTGTGGCTTCAACGAAATGCTTTTGGGATGCGCCCATGCACTCGACTACTATTAAAACTGTAGTGGATTTGAATGCGAATGCAGTCTTACGATTTCTTGAGGGGCCAACCCCTCTATATCAGTCATCATTTAGCCGGATAATGTGCTGAAATTCGATCCACGGACCACAACCTCAGTAGTGCTCCCTTCCAACCTCGGCCTCCTACTCGTGCATATTAGGAATATGTGCAGAAACAGACTGAACCTTCAATAGGCGAAGAAAATGAATTGCTGTGAAGAAGAGGGTCGCTGAGGAAAGAGGCCATCACCTTATAGGAAGGCTTTTTTTACCTACTCCTCCACCTATGCTGGGTATCGGTACCAAGTAGGCATGGTTTGGATACACATCGAATATAGTAACAAGTAGTCCCATATGAAGGAACGGCCACCCTGGGACCCTTTTTCTCTCCTTTCCGCCCATTCTAATTGACTAAAAGTGCACTTTTTTGTTTGAGAAAATTTTACTCGGACTTTGACATGCACCTAACAACAAGGCCAAATTAAGGGACTTGAAGAAAAGAGCCCGAGTTAGAATTCCTCTGAGAGGGGCGGCAGCTAATACCGCTACTATTCAAAACTCATAGAAGAACCCAGAAGTTGAAGCTCTGGGTGATTCTATCCATGAATTCTCCTACTGTAAACATTATCTAGCTAAACCTTTCCCTGACTTTCACAGAGGATCGAAATTATATTATACTTTCAGTTTGTTACTGTTCCTGGTGCTACTCAGTTACAATCTGAGCAACGTACTTGCAATTATCGGAACTCTACTGGTGATGTTTGGAGTTTCTGAGGATATCGTCTATATCGGCCATTGCCTCTATTACCTCTGCTATTTCTATATCAACGGCATGATGTTCTGCTTAGTTGTGGAACGATTAGTGGCTACTATACTCATGAAAACCTATGAGTATAATCGGAAATGGTGGCCAGTGGCGTTGAGCCAGCCTTTCGCTGTAAGTCAAGCTCATGGTCCTTTCTGCCTTTGAATTTAACAGATTCTTTATCAAATAGTAATAGGTTGTAGAGATAAAACTCAAAGAACAACAGAGTTAAAGTATATATCTCTCAGCGGGTAATGCCCTTAATTGGAAAATAAATAATTTATTCCGAAAAGTCCTTCCTGCTCAATGGAATATCGAAGAAAGCCAGACTACAGATGAAAGCAAATACTGACCTTTTGAGAGGTGATTGTTTGGGTTCCTTACTTTCAGCTGCTTTCCAGAACCAATTAGCTTGAAATCGAGAAACTTGAGTGGTATCCTGTTGCTTTTGACCGCTGTTGGGGCACTGAAATAAAGACCCCGAAAAGTATAGAATCTACTAACAATAGAATACAGATATGGTATATTTTCCACCGAAAACACCTATATTTTGTCCTTTAATGGAACTCATGATGCGATGAGACTTCATCAGTTTTTCCAGAGTGTGGCCCTCGACTTATCTCGGCAACTGCTATCCATAACCAGAAAATGACTAGTTCTCCCTATCGGGGCGCGGCTATTTCGAGAGGGCGGAACTTTCAAAGTGATATTGAGCCCTTGATTCACGTTTTGAGCCGCGAAATTGGCAATGAGCAGCAGGAATTATCGTTGAAATAACCACCACAGATATGAGTTTCGAATCGTCTGTTGGAGTCATCACAAGAAGTAAAACCTACAGGGTGCCGTTCCTTCTCTGCCTTCTTCCTCTTAGCTTTCATTCCGCGCCGGTGTAGAGCCCGCTGTTTTTGTGAGTTTCCCCACTTCCTTCTATCTAATCAATCCTGAACCTTATAAACCCGTGACCATCAGTCGACATGCCACTTTTGCTTCGTCTACCGCTAGCCATTAAATATCGTAAAATAACATATATCATTTGGGTAGCAGTATCGTAGAGCAATAGTGGGTTCACTGTGGGAACTGGGATCCTTGCCCACGAAACAGATGAAGGACTGTCAAGTCCCTCTCCTCTTCCCTCTACTGACATCGACCAAGTGATCCTAAAGTAAAGAACAAACAGAATCAAGCTCCTGCACAGTAGGAGGTGCGGCACTTCTCATTTATGGCAGCCAAACTTCGTTACGTGCTCTGCCTTCGGCTGTCTACCCTCGAACAGAACCAACAGAACAATAAACTAACAAGCAAGCTGGTAATTAGGCTCTCGTGACAAGGGCCAGTTTTGACAAATGATATGCGATCCCGAGGTCCTGATGTGTCGCGAGGGAGTAATATACTGCCATATTTCACCACCATCGTTTCAAAGAAGGACTACAATTCTGTTGAGGCAGAAGCAAACACGACAGTAGTCTATTAAAAGGGCATCCATCCCCACTATTCAGGGATTCCCGTGTTTCAGCTACTTTACTACCCGAGCACTTCCCTAACTTGATGAGTGAGCTTCGTCGAGGCAGCATAATCTGAAGGTCTCACATCATCGGCTATACCGACTACCATCAAAGATTGCGATTATGGAACTCATTATCGAGCACTGCGAAGCAAATGTGTTAGGCGCCGTTAATACGTCGGAAAAGATCGGTTCACAGCTCAAAGTAGTCGACATTAATGAAAAATAGATAAGGATCTATTGACCTTCTCACGATTCAGGCGTCAGGCTTGTATCGCTAGGAAGGCACTCAAGCGATACGAGAAATTACCTATAATTGAGAAGAAAAGTGGCGAAAAGAGGGGTGTCAGTACCCCACTACACTTTTCCGGATTCCTACCTTACATCTGTTTGTAGACAACTCCCAGTTTCTCTAAAAACGAGCCTTGAAACAAATAGAGGTGAGCTTTTTCGTTCAATGAACGAAATCAGCTGACAACAGTTTGAAATTGAGATGTGTACCCAGCCTGATTTGAGGGTGATCCTTGCTTTCATTCTATGCCCCCAAAAAAGTTCGGTGTAGCGCAATGGTTAAACAACCTGGAAAACTCGAACCCTCGTAGCTCTAGCTCAAACGAATCCTCCTAGGAGCTAGTCCTACGGTGAAGCTTTTCCGCCCTTTTTCTGCCCTTAACCTAACCTGCTTTCAGTAAATCATAATCCGAAATCTTCTATGACCACCGATTATCAGGAATTATCATAAACTGGAATGCATAGCGCACGCTGATGAGCTTTGCGACTTTCGCACGCAGTTTCGACCTTGAGAAAGCGTGCATTAGTCATGTACTTGGTACAGCATAATCCCCTATGGGATTTGAGACAAAAAGGGTTTTGAATAAAATATGGCTCCTTCAACTTCTCTTTAATTTAAAGGGATATATAACTCCGTCGATGAACTTTTCTTTCTGAATCACCTTCTGAGGCTAATCGTACTTCCCCAATGAAATAACTTCATAAAAAATTCCCCGGCAATACTTTTTGCACTTTACTACTTTTCTTCGCTTGACTGCTCTACCTCTTTAATGATTTTAAGCTCTACTGCGTCGATTCGTAGGGGGTTCATAAGAGGATGAAGGAGTTGAATTCCACTTGAACGGGATCTGGCAACCATTTTCAAAAGTCGTTCCAGTCTATTCGGTTATAAAATCTGATATCCTACCAGTTCAAACCTTACACTTGAGGGAACAACTTGGTTGGTAAGATCCGGCCCTTTCACGATGCGCCGTGCATTCTAATTTCTTTTAAAAGTGCAGTGAGCCGAGGTTTAGCGCCGCAATTAGACCGAAGAATATAGATCAATGCGAAAGTTCCGGCTACCTCTCTGATGCGGTTTCCTATATAGTACCAGGGTGAATGACAACTTGATCTTCCTGGGAATACTTCAGCCATACGGGTTACACAGCACAACAACGACAATGTCTCCTAATGTCACTGGTTTATTTTTTGATTCATTTATAGAAACACTATAAAACACCGTAGTTAACTGACGGCATTTTTTCCATGTAGTTGGTCTCAGAACCTATCTTTTACATTTGTTGGCGTGAAAAATTTAACTGAATACTGAAGACTCGCTCAGTTTTACCGTTAGATTCTACTGAGATCTTAATAAGCGGGTTTATTCGATCCTTATGAAAAACCCGTCATGAGCTATAACAGCTATCTCCTCTTGCTGCTCACCGATAGGGTGCAGATGGGTGAAAAGTGGTCTAGAAGTGTCTCAAGGGTATTGGAAAGAAGACCAGCTGTCGATCTCTGTTACCGCAAAGAGCCCTAGAAAAGATGAAAAGGGATTTTTGGCTATTTCTACAACTTTATTACTAGATTTTCGAATATTCTCAACTTAATTCCTTCACTCTTGATCACTGCGTACCTATGTTTTAATATTTTCGAAGCCCTCTACCTTTGCTATCGTTACAACTGTCTTGAGAAGTGAGAAAGAGCCCAGAGCTTAACGTAACACAGAAGCTCCACATGTCTGCAATCCTTCTCCCTTCGCTTCCCTTTCGAAGCCTAAGTACTTAACGGTCTTCAAGCCTGCAATTTTAATGAGAACTCTTTTCATTACTTTTTATATAAGTAAAAGCATTGACTTAAGGTGAGCTCAAATCAAAACAGGAAAGAATTTTCCAAAAGGAATTGCTTTATATTTCATCTTTTCGACTAGCTTGGGAAGATTTCAATTTGATGATTCAAAGTGAAAACCATTTATCACATTTTTTCAGATCATGGTGGCAATTGTCAACTTTTTCATTCGGAATATCACATCCAGAGTGATATCTATGATGGCTTTATACGCATTAAACATTGTGGTAAGTATTTAGTTTTACTAAAACAATTACAATCATCCGGAAAGAAAATGCCAGGAATTACCTATCTCCCTCTAGAGTGCGCCCCGCATTCGACATCCATTCAATCGAAGATAGCTTTTGAATTTGCACATAGTTAGCCTTTACAGTGGATAACGGAGACTACTTTGTAAAGGGGTTGCAATTTTGGTATCTCTTACGAATTACCTGGCGAAAGGGATCAACTGAGCTTGTCTGGGATACGTTCGACTGGAGACCCTGGGTTCACATGTGGAAACGGCGCCATTCGCCACTAAAGCACCCTGGTTCCTCCTACTGCTGCTCTCGAAGTAGATAGCAATTCATTGAAATAAAATGAAACAAACGCGACAGTCCTTCGGAAGAAGTTTGGGTTGATTAGGCCTATTACCGTACGCTGTGCTATTAATTTTATAAAAAAACATTTGATCGATATAGGGCTCTGAGTAATGCAATTTTTTGCAAAAAACAGCTAAGCTTGATATCAGGACTTCAACGATTCTGATTGACTGAGTGCCTCCAATAATAACACAAACTTCTTCGAAGGTGGGATGTGATCCGCTGGTGATTATAATGTTAAATAGCTTTCCCCATCCTACCATCCCCACTACAATGTAAACTTCAGCAGCAATCGGTCCCAAAGTTCATTTGAGGGATAAGTCCTTCTGCTCCCTCCGGTAGGAAACCTCAGCGAAGTGGGTTCCAGTGACGTGAGCCGTGTATTGAGACCAGAGAATCGACCATAATCAAGCGGCCTCGTGGCGAAAATTGGATCGGCTAATCCACTCCAACCTTGTTTCACTTTATGATACTCAGAAATTCTGTCAATATGGCAGCTGTGAAAAACAAAATCTACATTCACTCGCTAATATTGTTAGGTTTTACAATCTCGCGCTGGGTAGGCATTTTCTTAGAAAATGGCGACAATAGAATCTACACGAGAAAAATAAAGGGATATGATGTACGTCAATGAAAGATGAAAAAGGAAACCCTTTTGTGCACAAAGTTTCGTCAAGCAACTAAGATTGTCAAGGCGTCAAGACTAATTATCGTCCAAATTAATTTTAAAAATAATTTGGAGTAATATTTTTTGAATAGTTTTAATTTCCCATGACAATTTTGAAAATAGCCAGCACACAACGAACCACACGCCTAATAGCTGTTCCTTTAGCTGCACATTGCTCCAGCTACAAGTAGTACAATTAAATGGCGNCAAAGGCCCAATGTTCCTGGATTGAATTCTGAGTTACTCCCCACCCCGATGACCCTGACATTTCGTCAGAAAGACGGACCGTTACTAGGTTGACCTTTTTGTTAGTCATCGTATGATTGAGCAGCTATTCTGATGTCACAATGATTCCGACTGGAAGTTGGGTGCATGGCTTATCTTAGCAAACCATTCAGAGTAAAGTAATGTGCAACAATACTAGCACTTCAAACATATTCTCATATCTATATTTTTAACTCTTCAGTGCCTGATCATTCTTCTCTGCGTCAACTACCGTATTACAAGAGCTTTGGCTGGTACTGGGGCGACGCTTTCTACACGATATCAGATCACCGAGAACATCCGAACTATAAGGTAGGTATAACCACTTTATCAGAGCGGTGTTGAGCGATCAGTCGCTCCACACTCTAACGCACTCCCGCACTCGGGCGATACTCACTTATAGCTGAGGACCAAGGATTAGTCATGGGAAACGCCTAGATACAGACCTGCTTGCCCACAAATATCGAACCCATCAGAATTCCCATTAAAGACTTTTTGACCAATTCCTATTGAAAAAGAATCAGGACCAAATCCCATGTTGTTGAGCATTAACTCTATAAATTTCTGATAATTTTCAGGGTACTCCTTCCAACGGTGCTCTGTGACGCAATAGTGTCAGCAATAGACGTCTCCGGTGCCCTTTACTTCGATCTACAGCACGTTTTTCAAGTGACAAGATGCACTGAGGACCATTACATTGCCGCCTTTTATGGATTCATTTCGGTTGGTCCCGATTGGATTCCTTTCATTTCAAAGGGAAACCATAATCTAAATGTTCATTATTTTACTTTCCTTAGTTGTCGATCGAACAATGGGCACAAGGCATTTGAAATCGGCGAATTAGAAATATTTGCATATTACAAGTTTTTAGGCGTCAGCAATTTTCGAATTCCTCGTACCGTTGTCGCTACTGCTATCTCATCCAGCCTATCGCAGGCATTCTTTACTACTTTATGAGAGACAACCAATGCGTATTCAACAAACAGTCATCAAGGATAAAACTTTGCCAAAGGTATGCACTACAATTGAATCTGACCATTTTCGTGAAGAAAGGACTAGTTCCGTTGACACGCTAGTTCATTTTTCTTTACAGTTCAGGGGACCAGTATTCGGCAAACACCACGAAAAAAAGTAAAGGAAAAGAATGATGCCCCAAGATTTTAGATCACATTACAGCAATACTGTATTGCTTTGATTAGAAACAAAGATTAAAAACGAAGGGTTTCTAGCTACTTTAACCAACTAATACTTTGGTATAGAAGCACCCATTCCATAGCGGATTTAGACCACGCCCTCCACTTGCGCATGCTATATTTTGGCCCCTCACCTGACAGCATTAACTGCAAATTATCTTCCAAATTTACTAGAATCAATACGACACTAACCTCTATCCATTTTCAGGTGATCAACGTCCTCGGTATCGAGATTGCCAATGCTGGTGAACAAGCTTACTTCGAGAATCTTTCGCGGGTCTGGAATCTTCGGCTATAGAACTTTCTTATTAGAGTTGCTATTTCCAAAAAGAATAAAGGCTATTACTCGAAAAGTGTCAAAAAATTGATAAAAAAAAGTCTCATGAGAAAAAAAAAACAACGAAGTTCTTGAAAGTGAGCAAAAATCGTCTTTCCCCTCCCCCGCTTCCCAACCCTACCCTTTCTTCCCTATGCCAGCCATTTCACCGGATTCCTCGATTTAGAAAGAAAAGGACCATATTGCCTATGTTGGGTTTTCTTTCGATGTCGTCGCCACGTAGACAAATTACATTCCCGTTCAGATAAGGAATGTAGTGTGAAAAAGGAAAAAATGAATAAAAAAGGGAATTGATCACCTCCTAAAAGTCCAAGTCATAGTGTTATCCATCATAGCGTAAGAAATAAACGGTGGAATCAAGAATTCAATTGAAAAAAGCACAAAGCACAAACCACTATCAAAGCGACCAATGTTTTATCAAATATCTTGCCCAAAACCTTGAAAACCCTGCAGAAAAGATAATAGGGTTATTAAACAGAAAAACTGCTCCATTATTCGGAACCGCCGTCGCCTGACCGCGTCGCAACCGGACCATCGCTACTAGAATCTCAGGCTGTCGTTTCAGGACCCTTCTCACCAATTCTAGAATTTTCTCAACAATCCGCGGAAAGTTATTCTATCTTACTCTTCTGTGTCTGTTGCTTTGCTCTTTCTTCTTCTTTTTCATTGTTGTTTTGTGTTGTTTTTATTTCTCTAATGGTTTAAGAAGCACCAAGTAGTTTCTCTGAGGAACACCGTCGCTTCTAGTACTGTCCTTAATGTGCTAAAAAAGATTTCAACATGACCATTTTGAGGACAGCTATTCTGGGCTTGTAGTATTTTCATAAAGAGAATACCCCGTCAAGCTATTTGCGAGCTGTAGGTCCGTGCAACCGGGGAAACGAAGACGCGTTGCGAACACAGCAGTATGGGCAACCTTGGAAATCAGCTCTAGTCTTGGGAACTGGCTCAGATTATTTCCAAACAAGGCTTTGATACTGCGCGATTTAGAAAGAAAGCATTCCTTCCAGCTTTCTAGCTATCACGAACGTTAGAAGGCACTCGAAAGGATCAGACACTCTCAAAAAACTTTGAATAATTGAACAATGGTACACAATATGCCCAACCAGTTTGTAACATCAGGGACGGCGTCCAAAATATGCAGCTTTTTTTGTCGGTGGTCCTAGACCGTTGTTCAGTTCAATATTGACGAGAAAACCACGAGATTTTCAAAACCTACGGATTTACTTTCGAAATTAATTCATCGTATCAGACAGGAATTCGAATGTAATCCAGAAACAAAGCAAAAGGCTATGAGATTGCCGATTCCTTGTGAAAGAGACTTGTTAGGGCAAATGATAGAAATACAGACACTGAGCAACCTTTCGAAAATGTTTTGACTCGTGTTGGCTTATTGTTACAGAGCATAAGAAACGACAGAAACGCTTTTAAAGTAACTCTGAACCGTAACACATCAAAAATATGACGTGAATTCGGTTTGCTTACTGACCTTTAACGGAATAGTCGACGAATTTCTACCTTACAAAAGCTCTGGACTGATATTCTTCACTCATGCGGTATACCCAAGAATTACAGGATCGCCGTAGAGGTTCAGTAAAATAGAAATAATAAAAAAAGTGAATAAAGTATTTCTTGTTTACCGCTGCTTATTCGTAATTCTAATGGTCATAAAATAACGCATCTCTTCACAAGTCGACTCTGGAAATACACCTGGTCTGTACTGTGACGCGATATCAAAAGTTCTCATAAGACCAGTTGGATTCGAACAGAGTTTTCCTGTCGTATGTTCCACACCATTTACCACAAGCTCTACCCGCTATTGCTTACACTTCTCGATGATTTTGAAATATTCTTCTATCGTAAGAATGTTGGCTATTTCTCAATTCTCTTTTTGTGCAACAACTCGCCTAGGCTCTTCTATGGATAAAGGTCTGGAGTGCACGATTAGCTCGTTAACTCGTACCAAGCCTGTTGGAGAAGACAAAAACAACGGCTGTACACCGGCTGGCCACTACAATTGAAACGTCCCTAGATTCTGAATCGAAGTCATGGACCATCAAGCATCACGAGACCTGATTGACCAAAGCTTAAAGGTATGTTACCTTTTTACGATTTTACTTTCAATCTTAATTTTGTAATTATTCCTTTCATATTCAACAAGTGCAGTGTGTAGTGGGTAGTGCGTACTGGCTAGACCTAGGCCTCTAGGTGGAGGCATTCGTGCCATCAATAAAAGCAGTTCTCCAGAAAGAAAGGAATGTAACTCTTGTCACATGAAAAATTGTGTACTACAACAATTACAGTACATCATGAGTAGATCTATTAATTTCTGCAGCAATATTACACCTACTCGGCGCTTCAGTGTTCTCTTACAGTACCTGACTTACCAGCCGCCAGCTATCCTTACTATTGATGTGCCCTATGACTCTCCCAATCGAACTAACCGCTTTAGCTTGTACTGTTCTGTTGCACTAGTTATATCGTTCCTAAAAATATCAAAAGCTTGCTCTTCTTTATTTACAAGGTGGCAGCTGCTTTACTTCTCTGGAATGGTTCGGAAGTTGAAGATATGATTTTCGGTTACTGACTTGTATGATTACAATTGTGTCGACGACCGATGGCTACAGAATTCTCTCCTTTTTCTTTATTCTGAAAGGGACAGACCTGCAAAGGTACAAACCAAAAACTAACTTGCTATTTCGTTGACATTTTCTTTGACATCTTTTGACACGGTCGAAGAACTTCTACATTTCTCTCGCACAAAGGAACCATAAATCCTGAAGTAACTACATTTGACTTCTGTTGACAATCGTTCCCTTTTGATTTTAATTATTAAACCCCAGTCGAGATCTGCAAAAGGCTTACATCTTGTACTGTGTATCTTGCTTGTTTCGAGAGAAATTCAAGAAAGCACAATACATCCAAGTAAATCATGCTAGCGGAACGAGGTAAAATGTAACTGATGTGAAATAAAACGACGATCTGAGAACGCAGCGTGCAAGAGTATTGTAGGATAGTACTGTTGCCCAATAAAGTCAAGCGTAGAATATTGTGTTGGTCATAGTGCTCAACCACATACTGTGAATAGGAAGAATGTAGTTGAGTTGAACTTTGTGAGATGAGAAAATCAACCCAATACAGCCAGGGACCACATACCTGCCCCCTTTAAAATGACGGCACTGAACGAAATTTAGCGTGAGGGTGTAGTAGCTCTTCATAGTTCGGATGACGCCGAGCGTTCCTACTTAGAATGCATCTTGATTGACGAAACATTTTCGAACACTGCCTCTGTGAGAGGGCGCAGACGGGAGGAGAAGTTCAGTCGGTTCTGCCCAGCGGACACGCATCTGTGGGAGATCGAAAAATTAAATGCTCAAGTAAAAAAGTCTTGGACTAATGAAGATCATCACTGTACCGAGCCCGCCCAATCGTTTTTCTCGAACATTCCATACTCTCGTTCTCCTTGCTGAGCGTCTTTCCGGATTCCATTCTGTTCCTTTCTTTCTTTCCAAATTTCCGTCATTTATTTATGATGTGTGCCATGAGAAATAAGTTCTCCCCCGTCGCATACAACTTGCCTATCTGATCAATGTCTTTGTTGCTCTTTTTCCCCTTTATTCTCTTTCTCATAAGATATATGTTATAGCAAAACTTTCTTTCCTATCAGTTAATGTAGAAGGCGGTAAGGTGATGGACTGATGGACATTCAACTGAGCTGTCTAAGAGAAAATGATTGATTGTAGTATCAAAGAATATCTGTAGTATCAAAGAATAAATGTAAACATTAAGGATGTAAACACCCAGTAGGAAAACGAAGCATTTCATTTCAAATCATCTCCAAGAACAGCCACTTGAGTGAGTTTGAGTGCTGTTAAACAATCAGTGTCATTCAAAGTACGGAGCACACGAGTGCAAGTGAGGTTACCCCTTTTTTCTATAGTACAACTATTAGGTTAGTAGATGCGCTGAAGGGAACGATCAGCTTCAGGGAAAGGGTTCATTAGGACCACACATTTGGCCATACGTTCAGTAAGGTTCCCGCTTGCAGCATGGAACTGCTTCCCATTAACCGTGCGTGAGAAGGTTAATATTACCGGGGTGGAGAGGGTTTCATTCGATTGGCGCGATCTCACAATCAGGTAGCATCCGCCCAATTGTTCCCTGAACCATGATCCCCTGTCAGGAGAGACCGAAGTGGAGATCTACTTTCAAACGTAGAACTTCGAGTGTATATTGAATTAATAAATCTGGAATTAATTTTTCTATCGAAAAGCGCAGATCAGAACAGAAGACGTGCTAAGGTTTATCAGGAAGCCAAACAAAAACGAAACTCCAGCACAGGCATATGTTTATACAGTATTCCAGCCGCAGGACTTGACTCGAACGAGTGATCATGATGCAATGTAGTTTCACTCCAACCAGGGTCAAGGGTTTCTGTGCTCGCTTACGGTTGTGCCCTTGAAGAAAATATGTTGCCTGCAATGTTCTGCGCCAATTGCATTTTACTTCACCATGAGGTAACTATAGGAATCAAGTGTCTTCTTCAATTTTCGCGCTTGTGGAGGTGGAGGGGGGAAGTTTACTCCCAGTTCCAGCTCTCTGCGCCGCCTCATCCAGATAAGAGAGAGTAGACGATCGAGAACTGCTCGTGCCAACCTCTAGCAATTTAGTCTCTGACTGAGGAGGGTGAGTGCGATTCAAGCGACAATATAATGAGGTCATCGGAAGAGGCGCGTTATGACATCACGCCAACCATCATAATGGGAGAAATGAGAAGCTATGAAAATAAGTAAAAAATGACCAATTATGCACGTTTAGAGAAGGGCTGCGTTTCTAGGGTCAAAAAATTTGCAGCTATTCTTATTCTGAACCTTTGACAAGTAAATTGTTGACCTATGAAGTGAATTCTTATTCTCGAAGGGGCTTTATTGTCATAGTAAAGAGATTTGCTCTAATTCATGGCGAAGCCTTGGACTACCTCGAATCTTATTTGTTCCATTCCAACAGAAGGGTACTGAAGCGATGCTGCGAAGAGCTCTAATGGGGTCACGCGTGGATCGCGCGCCCCCCGATTGAGGACAGGCAGGTTTTTTCAGAGTGGTTATTAATTGTCGACTATTCATAGTGACCATCATTACTGGTTTGCGACAACTTCTGCACTACATCTAAAGACAGTTTGAAAAGAGCCCCATAGATCAGTCACACCGCATGCTTTTTCCCTGAGCAGGTTTACCTGATAGGGCACGGGTGGATCAGGACCTGTAAATGGATCACGCAGTGCTGTACTAGATGCAAAATTATTAGGAGTATAGTAATGAATCAAATGATAGTTATACCGGCAACATTATGAATAGTAAATCTCTCTGCTTAAAAAAGAAAGAATGCTTGTTTACTGCACNTGATTTTTTTCAGGTTCAATTCTAGCGCTGCCGCTCAGTTTGATGGAGTAAGTGGTTACAAATCTACTTGATTCCGACGTTCACTGGCATGTGAGCTTTCAGTTACACTCATTGGTATGACAATAGAGGCTATTCTGATGATCGAGAACATGAGAGAGCTGTTGCCAGAGGTGATCTAGACTCCTTGCTATGTTGTAATGTTTTCACCTTCTGTACTATCGTTGTTCCTATTTTTTGTCACTCTGTTTGGATTCTGCATTGATTAAAAGCACATATAGAAAAATCTAAACTCACAGTAATTTGACAAATTTTCTAGAATAAATGATCGCAAGCATATTTCTCGCAAAATACCTAAGGTATATACAAGCGGCATTGAATGTTTTCCCTCTTGAGTAATCGTGAAAGGGTTGTGAGCATATGAAACATGTGGGTCGCGCAGATCACATTCTTGTAGCATTTCGTGGCCAGGATTGTTTCTCATCGAATTCCACGCTAAACATTCTAGTTACTTCAACCCTATCTTTTTCCACCAGGTTGATGGGTTCATTCTGATAACGTTGTGTATACGTGTCTTGCTGTTCATGCCACGACAAGAGAACGAAAGATTTGAGCCAAATGATAAACTGCTGACGAGTAAATTCACGCATAGCTTAACAATCCTCATAGGAATCTTCCACAGTTTTTACCCGGGGGCGACATTATCCGTATATGTTAGACTTTTGGGTACTATTCTACTATTACACCCCCAAAAACTCAAAATTTTAATTTTCGATGAAACTTCGCCTATAGGGGAAATCCGATGCCCTGATAACGAATATTACCTTCATTTTTGGCGTTTGGCGCCAATTGGAGCCAAATGGCGTCAGCGCCAAAAATGAATGTTATATTCGTTATCAGGACCTCAAATAACCCCTAAACGCAAGCTTTCAGCGAATTTGGTGAAAACACTCTTGGCGCCAAATGGCGCCAGCGCCAAAAGAGAAGGTCATATTCGTTATCAGGGCATCGGATTACCCCTATAGACGAAATTTCATCGAAAATTAAAATTTTGAGTTTTTGGGGGTGTAAAAGTAGAATAGTACCGACTTTTGAATTAAGCTTATTTGACTTGCTCTAGTTTTGCAATGTTGCTTCCAATCTCAGAAACTGATAAGTTCTACATTGTTTTAGGTCCCTATTTTGGTGTACCTAGCTTTGGTTGCTCTGAACTATGCGGAAATCTTACAACCAAATGCAGTGGTAGCGTCGACAGCGGATATGAGAATAGCCGCAATAGTTTTAGCAGCACTAGCCAGGGTGGATCCTCACTCATGAAGTTCAGTGAAAGCGAATTTTTAAATGATCGCCAAGCAAGTGAGAATAGCGAACGGAAAGGTAACATTTTCGTTCTATGTATGTAATCGGCGCTCACACATTTGTATGAGTAGTGTTGATTTCACGAATTTGTTTCCAGAATTTTGTTGGAATTGTAAAAAGGAGGGACATATCTCCTGTGAGAATGAGGATCCTAAAAATCATCCAAACCCGGCTAGAAGCAACAACCCTCCGTGAGTTTTCTTTGATAGCGTTACTGGATCTTTGGCTGCTTTATTCGAAATCCAAGCAGCCGAACAGCCCATTACATGTATTCACTTTTCTTAAGATATTCGGAATTGGTGATAACGAATGATCTAGTAGACGCAGGCGATCCAAATTTTTTCGAACAACAGGTTTCGGCTATTGCTTGTAAAGGTTTGTACTCAGCTACTCAAATTTCTGGCATTTCTCTGGAAACTGAGAGCAATCGTTTTGGAATATTACTTGCTCTTCATAAAACATTGAGACGGGAACATTTCTATTGCTGACAGCATTGAAGGATCATGAGCCTAATCATTTCTAGGCAGAGATGTTCTTGCCTGTACTACGACTGAGTCTGGTAGGAAGGCTGCATTTTTATCACCAGTTCTGACAGCTTTGATCAGCGATGGACGCCTTAGCAGCAACTCCGACGTCGTATGCAGCCCAAGGTATGGATATTAAGGGTACCTTGAAGCAATCTTGTATCACAAATTCAGATTTGTTGTTCTTGTGCCAACTGCTGAGCGCGCCATGACCATCTATAATGAGGGTCGTAAGCTTGTGTCCAATACAATGGTACAAATTGCTGTTATTATTCCGCGCACTTCTGTTTTTGAACTAAACAACTGGAGACATGTAAGTCTCACTATTATATGCCTTTCACATGTAATGTTTTGAGAATCTTCAGGGCACCACAATACTTGTAGCTACCATAGGTCGTATGAAAAATTTCCTTTGTGAAGGACATATATCTCTTCGCAAGGTTTGTCCTGATGTCTCTTATTTTGTTTAATTATAGTATACACAAGGTAAAAGAGCGCATCATATCGATGCTTCATTCACCTATTCAGATAAAATTTATCATTTTGGATGAAGTCGAAACTATGCTAGAGTTGGGGTTTGAACTTCCACTAAACTTTATTTTGGATCATCCTTCGATGGCGGCGAAAGAGAGTAGGCGAGCTGTCATGTTTTGGTTAGTGTTCTACTCACTATAAGAAGAAAATTTTTATTTTTCTGGCTACGATTGTCGTACGCTTTTTGCCACTATTGTATCATTCATAGCCTTACTCTTGTTCCTTATACTATTACATACACCGTTTCGAAGATATATTCGAGCACCTCTGCACCTCCAAACACCCATCACATAAATGACGCAAGAAAGGATACCTTGGGCGAGGCCCACAGGTTGGGTGGTGAGGCGTTAGGGGTTTCTGTATCAAGCGTTCGGCGGGCTATCAAATCTGCCACGTTCTTCTAGAAGCACTACACATGTGCCTCTTATTTGTTGTTTGTCCTAAAAAATACGTGTTGGTTCAAGTGAGTAAATTTTCAGCGCTAGAATTTCCACTAAGTTGTGGACACTCGCCGGACTCTATTTGAAGCCTAACTTTCTGACGATAACACATGGGCAAAGTAATATTCCTAATTACTGTATTGCTCAGGTTAGCGAAAGGTGAGAGTTTAATACTGTATGTTTTGTCTGCAACGGTATTACTTGCATATTTATGTAGTTCTTACTTTGCACTACGTTTAGGAGGTACCGGACTTTCTAGTCAGATATGCGAAGGGAAACAGGTCGCGAGTTGATACCTGGAATACTGATCACAGTCGACACTGATCGTTCATGTTTTTAGCATATTTCTATAGATTGTTATTGTTGCTGTTGTTACTCCTTAGTTTCTTTTAGGAAAGGATGGCCATTAATGCTTTTTTTCAGTTTGTCCTTTATTGAACTTTGTACTGTTGTTATTATTCTGATAAATCTTGGTTCATATTTTGTATTGAGAATCATCTGGATTGATCATATTCTGAACGATCAGATAACGCAAGTTTTACTTCTACTGGAGTAAGTTCTTCTGGCCACCGTTTATTAGCTAAAAATTGGTCCTGAGTAACTGTCTACAACTTGGTTATTTTTCTCTGCTCATTGTAGCTGACAGCAGATGAGCGCTACTTCTGGATAGTATAGTTTTTCCGCTCCAACCGATATTACGTAGTTGTGACTCCTTTGAAGATACCAGTCAGGATGTTTAATATTGGTATTTATCTAGAAAAATTATTGTGGCAACGTTAACCTCTACATCATTGAGTGTGGTATGAAACCGATTTGGACGACATTTTTTATCTTTGTGGCTATGATGTCCATAAGGAATAGTTAATGGTGAATCATTTTGTGAGGCTCTTCAGCTTTTCCACAGGGAGCAAAAAATTCTGCGTTCGTTCAGGTGCGGACGAGTAGGGGAGTGCTGTAGTGAGGCTGCTGACTGGTCTTCTCCGACCATAGCAAACTCTTCCCAAATAATTTGGATACGACTTTCTTTCCTACTTCTTCTAATGCGTTTCCCTTGACACACGCCTAGCTATGCTTTCCATCGCTCCATTGTGACTGATTGGCGGTTGGTGTTGGTTGGGAAAAACCTATTTCTATTAATCAGAAGGTAAATCACCATTTTTGTGTTATTAGTCAAACCGGGTAGACCTCCATTCAAACCTTTTTTCCCGTAAAAAAATTCTAAAATCTGCCTCAATATGCCTATTCGTTGGGGTAAGGGTACCTGTAGGGCTCATTGAAAGCTACGTTGAATGTTTTGAGAAATTTTTTCTCCCACTTACTTATACAAGCTCTCCTTGCTCTTGACAATTTCACTCTTTAATGGAATGTATAATATCAGTTCGTCTGACTTGCAACACTCTAAGAGCTCGGCTCAGCTCCAGAGCTATGGTTCTAGTAATTAAGCTACATAGTAGTCCCTGCTAGAGGTTTCCAGTTGAGGATTCGTTTTTTGTATGAGTGCCATAGCTAAAAACCATGTGGATATCAACAGTAAATTGATTTCTTATGGAAAATACATTTTATTCATCAGACTACTACGACAACTGAAAAAAATACCTGTACAGCGATATCATTAATTCGCTCCTGAACAAAAGCCACGGGGATTAGAATGATCTTTTAATTTTCTTAGCTACATAAGCATAGGGAACTGTACACAATAAGTGTGGAGGCGTACGTTGAGCAGCATTCATCAGAGGAGAAGCAGCGCGGCACCCACAGCAAACAATGACGAGAGTACCACTGTCGCAGCCGAATTAGACTTCTGAATGGGGGACGGGACACTCATTCGATTCGGAACATCATCAACAGCCAACTTACCACTTCCTGTTTGGTACCTACTTGAACTCTGTTCTCATCAGCGTCACTTGGAATATCGTCCACGACGATCACAGGCTCCGTTGGAGCAGGTGACGTTACTTCAATAGCATTCACATCCATTCCAATGTCACCCTGAAGAACAAATTGCCTGTTCTCCTACTGAGGGATAAGGATAAAGTCTTTTGGCTTCAATCAATCCCGTCTGGGGATGCACCCCCGCATTCGACTTCCATTCAGAATCGTACTGTCGTAATGAATACGTATGCGAATGCGTATACAATGAGTCGCGGTGGCCAGTCGATGTACAAGTCAGTATTTTTATCCTCCCAGACGATCTGGTACTATTTAATCAACCGACCCCGTAGGTGTGGAAGGTTTGGTGGCTTGGGCGTATATCGATACGGGATTCGAAACCGTGACCATGACCGTGACCCCGTCGCCATCAAAGGCTATACCCATTCGCACATGTCCTCGACGTACACCCCTTTTGGAAAACAACTGGCAGTAAGTGCATTGGAGCACTGTTTTACGAGTTTGCTTGAGGATATTTGGGGAATAGGCTGAGCTACCCGTCTTTAAAACAAATCGGAGAAGAGCTTTCACCTTAACTTCTTCATCTGTCGTCTCTCTGCTTTGTGCTTCAGTCACTTCGGCTACAGGAGTCGTCTCATCCAAGGACTTCACTACTTCTTCTTCCTCCTCGTGTAACTAAACATGCTACTTACTATACGCTTTTTGTAACCGTGAATCTGTGAAACACACATCTGGCAGAGGGATGGTGACATGGCTAGTGGCATCGCTATGAGATTCCAATGCAGATTCACCTTCTTGGACGGGTGCCATCGTGGTGGGTTCCTTAAAAAGTCAGCTTTTTGGAAAGGCCAGTAAAAAACCTTCCAGAAAGAGCAAGGTCGAACAGCTTCAGAGTGAGTAGGATTAGTTTTTCCTCAGAACCAAGTCGATTAGGTGAAAGGGAATTGTCACAGCAGTCCCACTCTAACTCAATGTCCTTCTGTTTTTTCGGGTAAGTTGCCACTCAGGGTTCACGAGCCCCAAACACTACTTGTAAACACACGCACACACTAACTATTTAGCCATAAGCGATTGAAGTTACTATACAGCTGGCTTTAAGTTCAGAAGGCGACCCTCCCTGGAAGTTGATTGAAAGTGCTTTGAGTGTATATAGACCACCATGACCGTCATCATCACTCACTTCGTCATGAGCAACTGGCGTGTTCACAGTTTCAGCTGGCACCTCCTCGACCACTTTTGGCGTTGCCTAAAAATTTCAATTATAACTATAAAGCCAATCCCTGGACATTTTACTGAGTACCACGCTTGGGGAAGGCGAAGATTCATTTTGTTCCCACATGGTATCAAGAGATGCCTTCCCCACACGTCCGATCTAGAGGCAAGGTAAGCTTGTGTCGCGTAGTCGACAAAGAGGGCTTGTTCGCTCGACTTTGAAGGGAGGAGGTCGTGGTTACGACACGAAGGAAGATGCCGTATTAGGAAGAAATCTGATGGATCATCAGGAACCTTTTGCTCACACTGACGCTTCTTCAAGAGCTGAAAGGGACTGAGAACGGGGATGGAAACAGTGGGGGGATGTTCCTTGTAGGATATTTTGAGACATTTGAAGCTGAAGAAGATGGGGAGTGCGTATTTTTCGCGACCTGTAGAGACTGTAGAAACATTTGAGCTTGACGGTCCTTCAATGGTAACAATTCTAGAGGTAACATTTCTCGGAGGCTAGCCTTTCAGAGCAATTTTAAATCTTAGCAGCCCTACCTTAAGGCCCCTAACCTCCGGAGTGTTTGTGAAATAATGTTTTACTGATATAGTTCCGAACGAATGACGCCGCCCTCGGGCATATGATCCATGGATCGGATTCCATCTCGCCAAGCCCCCTTAGTCACAAATTTGCTAATGGTCAACCTGGGAGGACATAGACACTGGGTGCACTTAAGCTTGCTATTGAGTCAGTTCTAGGTTAGATTCGCGTTCAAAAACTCGGTCAATTTTTGCAAAAGTAGAGAGCATGGCGTTTCCCAGAAAAAAGGTGAATAATACCTAATTCGTTGTAAATTTCAGTGAGTGATTGAGCATATACCTCCTTCATGAAGTCGATGGTTGCCAGTTCTTCATCTTTCTCAAGCACACCTTCTGCCGTCGTCTGTTCTGAAGAAGAAGTTGAAGATGGTTCTGTGGAAACTGCCTGGGTCGAGCTCTCTTCAGGTTTCATTACCTAAAAAAGTCTTCGTTTGAAAGTCGCTTCCTTTTTCTGTAAGAATGCCCATACCTCTTCGAATTCGTCGATGTCCTTCAAAAAGGCGCATTCACTCGGCAAATTTTTCAAGTAGTTCTCGGCCATGAAATGTATAGTGGTAGCATTTTCATCAGATGATGCCTCGGTCAATGTCTCGATTCCACTACTCACTTGTTGCTTGGCCATGTCCTAAAATTAAACAAACCCCTGCCTGGTTTCATCTTCGATTTCTTAAGGACAAATTGGTTCACCTTGAAGAGGTCACCGGCACCGGCACATTCTTTGTTGAGACCCTTCTGGGAGCATCTCAGCACGCAGATTTCTTTTCTGAAAATAGCATTATGAAGAAAAGAGGGCATTCAGATGAAGGCGTCCGATTAGATTTAAGGCAGAATAGGTGGGCAAATTTTACCAAGGCCAACCCTCCTTCCATGACCTAAATTGGGATCCATATCTTCTCCCAAAATACCGTTTTCATGATACCCACTCTGAGAACTCACTTTTTCCCTCACCCAAGTAGAACAGGACGCCCGAGATGAGATTGCTTGAGGTCACAAATACCAAACCCAGCTGGCAGTTGCTCTTTCTTTGAGATGGGAAAGGAACGACTGGGATGACTGAGCTCGTCAGCATACCTCATGCCCCGATGAACGACCCCTTAAAAAGTCTCCGTTGGGATGGAGACTCCGTAAGAATGGAGGGGATCCGTGGCCTTGATTGGAACTCGACCTTGGATAAAACCCATGAACGATGTCTGTGATGGTTACAAAACTTCTCAATATCCCATCCGCTGTTCGAAGGTACTTCCAAATAAAAACTTACTTGCACGTTCCTGCAACACCGTCAAGGAACACTGCCGGATTTACTGAAGCAGCAGGCGATGAGTCCAGACGGAACGGAACGTCTGTTGATATTCCGCATTCTGATGCACATACTGAGGTGACGTCGTCGGCTCCTTCCAAGCATGCCGATACCAGTCGGAATTCTGAATTACCAAGGTCAGTTCGTCGGCGCTCTTTCTCTCAGAGCCTTTAGAGCAGCTCTACGAAGTCTCATAATTACGCATTCTATGAATTCAAAACATTCCTAACTGTCATCGTCCACCTTCCGGCGGTTGACGATGATAGCGTGTATTCCAGTAGCCCCGAATAGCAGGGAACAGGTTATGTTGTCAGTTCTCATAGAAAGGCAATGGTTGGTCACGCTTTGACGAACTAGCTCATTGTGATGGGGCAGCACAAAGTTATTGTTCCCAAACAAGCATGAAATCAGTTGGTAAAAGCTGTCACTCACATACCTTCTATTTTGTTGTTACAGATGTATGAACTGGCATGGGTCCTGGCTTCCAATTCGGGAATCTGCTCTGCTGGACATTCTCGACCGCACTTCAGCAATGCTGAGTTGAAACTGCAATGATTCAGTATTGGGGAGATATTTTGGGCTGTCATTCTGGTGTTTAGGGTAGAGCGCGGTTTGATGAGTCCCTGAAGAAACATCCATTAGATTCCCTCGGTACCGTGGCACAGCCTCGTTCCTATTCGTGAAACATTCAAGGCTGGCTCTTAACCTTCTGATGGAACGAATGCCGACCCGATCGCCGCTCGCGAACTGGGTGAGCGTAAGAGGTAAAAACGTCTTTGATGTCAGACCTCGTCCCATCACAACGTAACTGCGATTGTTAGACTGAACCATTGAGTATTGGCCAATTACCGTAACCTGATAGGTTGAGTGGATTGCTTGAGCGGAAGAAGGAAATCCCGTGCTACAGTGGGTCAAGTTTTAGAATGGCACATTCTGCAGTGGCACCTTACGGAAGAACCCAACCTAACTCTGAGGCTATATATGAAGTCTGCCAACTTGGAGGTATCAAAACCAAGCTGTAGCTAATCTTTTGCGTCCCCAGACAGCCCAACAGCCCTCTGCCTCTTCAGCTAGCCAGTGCGCGAACGGCTCTACCTGTGGAGCCACGCCCTATACGTTTGAGAGAAATAGAGAGCCAGCTGGAGAGAGCAAGGTAGAATTATCGACGAGCGAAGTATCACCCGAAACGGACACTTTCATCTGCTGCGCCATGGCCTTGGCAAAAACTCAAAAGAACTGAAATCCTGTTTGTTTTACGTATCTGGTGGTCGCATTGAGTAAAAGTAATCTATGTGATGAGCGTAAAAGGGTCAATGGCAATGGCTCGTACGAGCGAGCGCCGCGAAAGGCTGAATGGGCACTTCAAAAACGTAACAAAACATACTTGCAGAAATTCTCGATGTCGACAGCGATGCTCCTGAAGTTGAGCAGATCGAAAGCGGCGTTTACGATGCTCCCCGTTGAGAAACAGCCTTGCAGGCAGGCGCTTGCCGTCGGAATAACTGGCTGTGGTGGAATGGACGCACCTGAAATCGGTCGGGATTGTTGTTGCCATGACGGACATTGACCCTTATTCAATCCTGGATAGCTCTTTCAGTTATGCCCATTAGGACATCCTACAGGAAACTTCTTAGGTGGCATACAGTTTCGAAAAGAGAGGCTCTTATCGTTCGTTCTTTACTGCCCAGCATTCCCAAGCCCGTTTGGGGAAACTCAATAGATAAAAAAAAAGAGAAACCGGTGTCAATCGGTGCTGAAATAAATCATACCATGTACGGTCGTCGCCAAAGCAAGTAATAACCACAGAATCATCGCGATTGATCTGAAACTGGAGTATTAGACTAAGGAAAAAAGGAGAAAAAACTCATAAGGCATCTTCAGGAACAATTGACAACATTAACAACGGGCTGAGAAGAAAACAACGCACGATTTAAGGAGTTTCGACCAAGTTATCACACCATGTGCGATAGAAAAAAAGCTGACCAGTGTCCCATCAACAGAGAAAAAAAGTTTGAGAAGTAACGTGTACAATTTGTGGAGTGACGAATTCGTGTGGAACCGCTCCAACTACGAAAAAACGATCGGAAACCCCTCGAATGGACCGTTTGACGAGGGTTGAACCTCAGCTGTTTCGACAATGGACTGCTAATGCAAAGCCCATGTCCGATCAGCCGTAAGGAGATGGTGTACGGAACGCTGAACATTGCAGAGAGCTAGTAGTAGTTACCTGACTGCTACTGCTGACAATTCAACTGTTGTACAGTGTATAAGGAAAGTGATGGTGGTCTGGTTACGATCATAGGGCGGAGCGACTTTTACTCTTTAAGTCTCCACCTTCCAATACCGGAACTGATTCATCAAAATGCCGATTCGACGTGCTCGATTAGACTAGTCGTTACCCCTACCGTTCCATATTATTGTCACAGTAACAGTTTGTGAAGATATCAGTAATTCACGTGATATGTGGTGATGTATAGGAACCGAATCTACTGATGGCATGTTGTACTTTATACGCTACCTTTACCTTACACTTTTTACCTAGTATTCGATCAAGTAACTGATCGATTAATGGCAACGCCCTTATTTGGCCACCCATTGCATCACCCTATCAGGGACTTTTCGGAAATTTGTTCAAAAATTCCGATCAGACTTTAGCCTTGGAGCAAATCAACCCTCCATTACCTCCCCGTAGAGAGTGTTAAGGGAAAGGCTGAGGGTTAGTAGAAGCTTTGTTTTTGAGACAACGAGAGTGGGATAAAAATTCCTAGGAGTGATTGATGCTGCCTGGAATGAGCCATGCCTTTAACTTTTCTGGAATCGCAGTAATCTCTGGACGGAAATTTCTCCAGTTAAACAGCTCTATAGTTCTAAATAAGATTACAAAGCGTGGCTCATCCCAAGCCGGCATTCCTAATCCTTGAAATTCTTTTCAAGGTCTTGTAAAGCGAAACGTCGAGTTCAATACCATCAGCTCGGCTTAGCGACTCCGTAACTACCTGACCCTGAGAGGATGGAAGACGTAAGCGAGTTATGAGGACGGTTTAAACCAAAATCCGATCATCGGGCTCTGCTTCTTTGAATAGCCTACCTTGACCGCTTCAGTGTGGGAGTGTGCACCAGAAATCGGTAGCAGGTAAGGTAAGACAAAGCCTGCTCCCGATGACAAATCCAACTGCCCGTCTTCCCTCATGACAGCCATAATGGTTGGCTATAATATGTGGAAGACTGCATAAGTAACTTTTACTCATAGCAATGAGAAAAAAGAAGTTCTTGTTATAAGAGGTCCAAACAAAAACCTGACTCGCTGAATCAGACTCATTTCTGTTCTATTTTGAATTGCAAACTCAGCGAGTGATAATGGAATCGTCACCTTCTCACATAGCATAATTACCTTCGCTTTACAACAGGCTAGCAGAAAGAGAGATGAGTGTCATTAGGTCTGGTTTTGGTCAGCGAAAAGCACATTAACAACAGTACAGACAGTGTCGTAGAAGGAGCTGACCGTGCGTAGCCAAGGGCAAGCGTACAGAGAAAGGGCCTGCATCACTACAGCCCCTATCTCACAGTTTTGCCAAGCTGTCCAGATCCTCTAAAGGCTGAGGACAGACGGTCAGGCCTTAAGGTTCATACGTGACGCCTCGGAAATGGTCCAAACAGCACAACCCTCACCCCGTCACTCTTGCCAAGACTAAGACGACGAGCCAAGACTTCACTCTCCAGGCGTATCCAACTCCCAAAAACGTAGATGGAGGGGAGGGGAGGAAGGGAACATATAATGATTGAGCGCATGTATTTTTCCTTTGGAATATGTTGAACCGTTACTATATACAAGCCGTTTCACCCTTTCACAAATAGTCGCGCTCTATTGCAAATTCGGCGACATAAAATGACTTTGAAGGCATTTTACAGAACGAGAACAACGACGACTTACTTGAAGTGAACTTTACGAGCGTACAAAACATTAAACATCTAAAAGTTCGAAAGTTCCAGATTGAAAAAGTCCAGGGAATCCATTTAAAATCAATATCTGGTTGTGTGTAGCATAAGGAGGTTTAGAATGTTTTATTCTGGTGTGCGCCATGCACTGACTTTCTTCTGAATTTTTGAGGACCTGATTTCATTCCGTTCTAGCTTCTAGTTAACTTACTCATAACATTTTTGGTCCCCTTTTTAAGAAATAGAGCAAATTATTCAAACGAAGTAGATGCAGTGCCCATTATTATCTTAATGAGGGCCCGAAATACCAACTATACCGGCTCTGGCAGCATTTAATGAAATATGACTTCTGAGGAAACCCATCATTTCCCCAGTATCATTTTTGTTTATTTAAAAGTGAACAATACGACCTGCTGAGTGTCTACAATTTGTGTTTTTACTTACTTACTTTACCAGATATTGAATTACGTCAAGTCAACTTACCCAATACCCAATTAACTTTATCGGTGGAACCTGTTACGTAAGGAAACTCGTTGAAAATCAAGTGCTGTAATGCTAATCTAGCTGTGCATTTGTTGAAAAGAACATTGAAATTTTTCAAATTGAAAGTAAAGTAGTGGTAATTGGCACAGTCACAGTCAGCAACTCACTAACTAGGGATCAATCCTGGATTGGACCCTGTTTGGAGCTATAAACTCTCTATCATTTCAGGATGAGCTGTGTCGTAGCCTTGTCCAGGAGGATAAACTTACTGTCCTGCTCATTGATAGGCCTCCGTGAGCTGATAACCATATCAAAGGGAGAAGGATAAAGTCTTTTGGCGTTGATCAATCCCGCCTGAGGTATGTGCCCCCGCATTCGACTCCCCTTCAGAATCATAGTGCCGTGATGGATGTGTATGTGGCCTATACAATGACTTGCGGTGGCCAGCCGATGTATAAACCAGCGTTTTTATCCTTCCAAACGAGTCTGGTACCAAATAGCCGATCCCATAGGGATGGAAGGCTTTGTTGGACTTGGCGGAGGACTCGAACCCGCGACCGTGGCGTGTGGTTTACTGCGCCACTTGCCACTACACCATGTTAGCGATGCAAAAATCTAGGAGAAAGTTCACGGCATGGCGCATCCCGAACAAAGTGGAATCAGCAATTCTAGGCAACCCACTCCTCTTTCCGACTTTAAAGCTAACAAAGTAAATCGGCTTTGTGGATTCTCTTGATAATATGCAAGCAGTCAGATGCATGGCGTATCCCGGAAATCTGTTAGCACTAGTTGATCTACACTTCCCTCTAATCTTATAGCAAGCCGCTTCCAAATTTTCGGAAGAGAGGGCTATCTAGCATATGAGCCCCTCGACGACTGCATCAAATGGGCCCAACCCGTTTAATGCCCATTCGAGGGGCCTATATGCTATACGGGAATCCCTAAGGACTTTTCTCGACGTTCATTTCTTTCTATGGCAGGGAACAAACGAGACATGCAGAAGTGAACGTGTTCGTGAACAAACAACATGGGATGGGGCATACGTCGTATGATTTCTTTGAGAGCAGGTGACCAGTGAAGAACTCGAGAAAGATGAGAACGAGTTTGGTGGCGTCTGATCGTGTGGTTGCGGCGCGCTCGAGCAATTTCATCGTCGCTCATCTTCGTCGACGAAGACCAGTCCTCAGGGCCCTCTCATAGATCTTTCTCCTCTCAGTTACTGAGTTCTCACTACGAACGATCTATGCACTCAACGAAATTGCAACTTACGATCGTATACACACGCACATACATCACAACAGCCATCGAAGGAGGAGCTAGAAAAACGGGGATCCGCCACGAAGAAGGGTCATTGAGAGCATTCCTTGGGGGATAAGCTGACAACTGACAAATTCCTCATATTTCTCTCCTAAACCCTGATCACTCCACTTTCCTTTCCCGCCTCTTGCCACCTCAGCCGGCAGAACCTTGACGCTTACAAATTTGATTTTTGAAGACAATCGGGTGAGGGATCAAACTAGTAACCAATCTCAAGCTGAATGGCCGCTTCTTTCCTCTGCGCATGTGGTTATAACAGTAGAGTTCCGGAGAAGTGGTTCTTGCCGCATGTCCGACCTCACGGGCACTGTTCTCCCATGGAAGTGGTAGCTCAAGGGCGAGGCGCTTAGGTTGGATGAGATGTAAACCGGCATCTGGGCTTGCTGGTCATCGCCCTTCATCCACCACAATACCGAGACCCCACGCAACCTCCCTCGCCTTCTTGATGGTATATTTACTTCCAGAACTGTTTAATTGCTACTCTCCAAATGTGAGCCTTCCACTTCAACTCTTGTTTTTGTTCTGTTTAAAACAATATTTAGTACTGCTTGTTTTGATGGAATGGTAAGAGGCATTACTGTCAGTTTTGTGGCCTAAGTTAATTTACACTGAAATACCAGCGAACATTCATATTTCGTGAACGGGGTATGGGAACGAACTTTGATACCCCACCACCCAGTTCCCTTCTCCTTTCGGTGGTGTACAGTTACTGATCAAGGTACATACACACCCATTCATATGAACAACAGAGACAGCACCGAGTAGGACTTCTGAAAAAATGCGTGCGGTCGCGGTGCGTTGTTGTTCTGAGATTAATCAAGGTCATTCCCTTGCTCGGAGACCCTGTGAAGGGAAGGGACGTGCAGTATTGCTGCGGTACTTGTAAACTGGAGGACAAACCACGGATTGAAGTTCGCTTAGGTAGACCCACAAATCATTTCATCCTCTTGAACTTGATCAGGGGCTACCAAGTACCACCAAGTACCCTGTTAAGGAATGAGAGGGGCAGTCTTCCTACGTCGGCAAAGAGGTTGTCATCAACATCAATGTTATGCCCTCTGTCAAATTGGGAAAGA